GGGCAGCAAATATGGCTGTGGGACTTGGCACTGGTGTTCCATGGGTCATGTGCAAGCAAGAGGATGCTCCTGATCCTGTGGTATGCATTTTCTTGATTTGTTGGTTTAACTTATATTTGTATGAGATATATACATATATATAAGTTGGTTAGTGTGTCATCTGTTTTGTGATCAATGAGGGCCTCCTAGGCAGGTGGGGTCTCTTTAACAGTTTTTTTCTCTACTTTAGGGGGCCTTCATGGTCCTAAACAGGTCCCCGTTTTTCATATGTCATGTGCTTTTAGTTTTTCCTCTTCCTTATTCTTTCTCTTCATGGCTTCCTATTAAATCAGAAAGCTATCTCCTCAGGTTCTTAATTATTGTGTCCCGAAACGATAAATATGCCTCTAATCTGGTTTGGCTCGACTTTGCTTGTTTGCCTTCGTTTAGATGGCATGACAATGACATTCGATCTTAAGAGGGATGGATTTTTCCGTATCATGGTTGCTAAATCTTGACTTGCTTCATACGAGTTATCTAAGACTGGGAGTAAGACAGCTTCTAGAAAATAATTTTTCCTGTCCTTGAGTTATGTTGGTACGTTATGTGACAGATTGACACCTGCAATGGCTACTACTGCGAAAATTTCAAACCCAACTCAAATAATAAACCCAAGATGTGGACTGAAGTCTGGACAGGCTGGTACGTCAAATAGCGGATGTCTGCACATGCTGAACCCACCCCCCGTCCTCCCTTCTCAGTTGTGTAGATTCAAAGTTGATTGTCATAATGATTTCCAGGTATACTGAGTTTGGGGGAGCGCTGCCTCATAGGCCAGCAGAGGATTTGGCATTCTCGGTCGCGAGGTTCATTCAGAACGGTGGTTCGTTCATCAATTACTATATGGTAATCTTGACTTCCGTAGCATCTGTGACTCTGTATCAATCACTTGATTCTGCCTTTTCATTCTGCTGTGAATTATAATCACTAGTTAACCTTCCTTTTTGTCTCCTGTTAAATCATTGCATACTTGCGAGTTCTTTATATTGGTCTTGTTTTTTGAATCAGTATCATGGAGGAACCAACTTCGGCAGGACTGCTGGTGGTCCCTTCATTGCCACCAGCTATGACTTCGACGCTCCTCTTGATGAATTCGGTATGTGAACGGAATAGATAGTTAGCATCCTAGCACGGGCAAGGCTAAATTTGCTCATGTGGCTCAATTTGTTCACTTTGAGCATTCAATGGATCTAACTACGTTAAGACTGGAGTAATTGGTAACGCTGTCAGATGTTTAACCAAGTAAAGGCGAATCTACATCTTGTTGGCTAAATATTTTACCTTTTAAAACAAAGTCTAGGAGTAATTCATGACATCCTATCGTGGAAATTATTAGGTGATCTTCCTTGACATCAGAATTTGCATAAATGTCACAGGTTTACTGAGGGAACCAAAATGGAGTCACTTGAGAGATTTGCACAAAGCCATTAAGCAAAGTGAATGGGCTCTAGTTTCTGCTGATCCAGCAGTGCAATCACTTGGAAGCAATCAAGAGGTTTGGTTTCTCAAGGCCCCTTAAAATGAATATGCATAAAAACCCTCTCACAGCCTTGTGGGTTGTCAATTAAGCTTTCGCCTGTCAAATTCTTTTTTTCTTAGGCTCACGTGTTCAAAGCTGGAAGCGGTTGTGCAGCCTTCCTCGCAAACTACGACACAAAGTATTCTGTCAGAGTCAATTTCGGAAATGGGCAATATGACTTGCCGCCTTGGTCCATCAGCATTCTTCCAGACTGCAAAACTGCTGTTTACAACACTGCAAGGGTAAGGCAAAGACCTTTTAGTTCCATGACATCTCGCATCGACTCTTTCCGATTTAATATGTTTCGTTACTTCCCCTTAAACAATCCTTTTTAAGAGATTAAGGGTCGAGGATGACACAATACCGTCAATTTTCAAACAGGTCAGTGTACCGAGTTCTCAAACCAAGATGGTGCCAGTAGGTGGATTCTCTTGGCAGTCGTACATTGAAGAAACTGTCTCTGCCTTTGGCGAAGGCACTTTTACAAAGGACGGGCTGCTGGAGCAAATTAGTCTCACTAGAGATGGTTCGGATTATCTGTGGTACACGACAGAGTGAGTGCTGCTTTTGACTTGCATCTCGTGAGCATCATCAAAACTTCAATATATCAAATTGTCGTGTGCTTACAGTTTTACTTTCACGATCATCTCAATCGTTCAGCATCACGATAAGTCCTAACGAAGCGTTTCTGAGGAGTGGCCAATATCCCGTGCTCACCATATGGTCAGCAGGACATGCGATGCATGTTTTCGTCAATGGTGAACTGGCAGGTAGATCAATTTCTGCCCGGATCCCAAAATGCAATTTCCTTTCAATACCTGGAATCTCAATCCATAACGTATGTTACTCTGGTGATTTTCTGTCTGCAATACAGGGTCAGCATATGGATCATTAGAGAATCCGAAATTATCATATAGTGATAAAGTGAAGCTGAGGGCTGGCATCAACAAACTGTCGATATTGAGTGTTGCTGTTGGGCTTCCAGTCAGTATTTCCCCAGTTGATTTTGGTATCACCCTATATTGTTAAGCTGTATACATATATGGATCTTAACATTAGTACTTTCTCCTCTTTTATTTTGAATGTTCAGAATGTTGGCCTGCATTTTGAGACATGGAATACCGGGGTTCTTGGGCCAGTCACATTGAAGGGTCTCGATTCTGGGACATGGGACATGTCGAAATGGAAATGGTGTTACAAGGTATCTTGACTTGGTCTGCTGCTCCTTTGTTCTTCTGTTGCTTTTCAGCAAGATATTGAGAAACAGAAAATAAGGTACCAATGCGGATTCATTGTTGTTACAGAAAAATTGAGTAAACCAATATTTCGGAGCTGTTGAAACGAAAAAATTTTAAAAGCACATATCTGCCAAAATTTTCTTGATGGTAGAGTAGTCCTGATTGTCAATGGTTTGTGTGGATTTACTGTTGTTCACTCGACTAATTGTAATGATGTGTGGATATATAAAGGTTTTGGACACGACTCATACTATGCCACGGAAGATTGAGAATAATCTGTTACGCCATCTTCAAAATTCAAAACCTGAATATTTGCTTTTCCTGAACAGGTCGGTCTCAAGGGCGAAGCTCTAGGTCTTCACACCCTAAGCGGTAGTTCCTCTATTGAATGGCTTGAAGGTTCAATGTTGGCCCAAAAGCAGCCGCTGACCTGGTACAAGGTGAAGATCAACCCCTGAAAACTTCACTTAATCATTATTGCCAGTCCAGTTTCCCTTTGAAAAACAATTTATGCTTTGTTTGCAGGCAACTTTCAATGCTCCCCTGGGACATGCTCCATTAGCCTTGGACATGAATGGCATGGGAAAGGGTCAGATATGGATAAATGGTCAGAGTATCGGACGCCACTGGCCTGCTTACACAGCTCGTGGCAGTTGTGGCGGCTGCAGTTATGCCGGAACTTTCAATGAGAATAAGTGCCGAAGTAATTGTGGAGAGGCTTCTCAAAGATGGTGAGAAAAGTTGAACTGCACTTTTTCTTTATAAATTCCTGTTTCGATTTGAACACCTGTTATTAAGCTTTTAATTTTCAGGTACCACATTCCGAGATCGTGGTTGAAACCCACAGGCAATCAATTGGTCATTTTCGAAGAATGGGGTGGCAACCCGGCTCAAGTTTCTTTGGTCCAAGCAACAAGGACTTCATAGCAGCAGAGCCTCTAAATTGATGAGGTTTATAGCTGAAATTCAGCAATTTTTTGTAGTTCACAGAATAAATGATATGCAACAGCACAGAGTTCATCTTCTTTTTTCAGTCTTCAGAAGCTTGTACATCCATAAGATGCCGTTACAACTACCTAGACTTCAACAGAGGGAAGTGTGAAGTCAAGCCATACTAAGACACCATTTTGCTGAAGTCATATAAAGAAATGCAGCAGGGAATATAAATTGCAGAATGCTGGTGTATCATACGTAGTTTGTGCTACACATATAAACGCAATTAAGTGGCATTTCTCAGCCTTTCATGTGTATAGACGTCATGATCGAGTGTCTCTAGAAAGCAGGACAGTCATTACGTTGGCCTGCTAAGAGAAACACTGAAATGCAGTGCTTGTGCTAATGAACTGAAATTCAATACCTCCTCCTTTTTATACATTCTTTGTTTAGTTCTCTTGCCTTCTATTATTCTATAACTTGAAGATCAGGTGTGTACTGAACACAAAGCCACATCTCTTCCTGGTATGGGACCCGAAATGCTAGCGTTTGAGAAAGCAAGGTGCCAATCTCGTAGGCTGACAAACTTAAGTACTTCAATTTGTCCTCATCTTTGCAAAGTTTTCGTTCGGATAGCATTCCAGTAAGGGTGTAAACGATTTGGTTTTCTTGAAAAACCGAACCGAACCGAACCGTTAGAAGTGCACCCTTGAACCGAACCGAATCTCGCTTGAACCAAATATGAACCGAACAGAAAAACCGGTTTGGTTCGGTTCGGTTTTCGGTTTCTTCTTCTTCTTTTTTTTTCTTTTTATTCACAGCTTGGTTTTCGGTTTTTCCTTCTTTTTTCTTTTTTGCTTTTTATTCATATATAAAAAGAACTAACCTATCAAAAGACTAGACATATACTGTATTACCAAAAATACACATACTTCTAATTTTTCATCTAACAAAATCACTCAATCCATCTTAACTTGGAACAAGATCTTATGCAGGTGACCGGGTAAAACACAGAAGAACTTTCGGTTAAAATACCAAAGAAGAGGTTGGTTTTCTCATATATTCAAATAAGTGGTTGGTTTCTCACGTGTCTATTGAATTTCAAGGAATGCATTTTTACATTCTGACTGCTATAGATACAAACACCATATAGCATAGAGAATTTAAAGACTAAATAAACACGAACATGCATAATCTAAAATTGGATAGTCTTACAAGACAGCACGACACCAACACACTAGACAAACAGATTAGGAATTAGAAAACACAAGTTCAGCACAAACAAACGTGACCAGACGAAACCAAACTGATATGGTTTAAGAAGGGCCAAGAAAGGAGCTGCAAATCTTGAATGTTGTTCTTGTAAAGCTCACTGCAAACAAAAGAAAGAAAGCTCAATAAATGAACTGAATCAAGGATTAGAAATGCCCAGTGAAGCAACTGTTTCTAATAGGAATTAAATAGAGAGAACCATCACCCAACTTAGAAACAAATCTATTTATCCGAGGACGCTTAAGCAAGTCCACAGTACAAGAGCCACCATCAACCCCCAAACCAAGCATTACATAAACTAATCCACAATACCCAGAAGATACAACGGCCAAACCCCGACTCCAAACTAAGACTGCAAGCAGAGGAGCAACGCAACAAATCCTCGCAATTAAAGAGTCAGGAGAAATGTCAAAAATGGAACCTCTCGCAAGACCCCAGAAGAATTATCAGCTCGATTAATAGAACCATTTTCGGTATCGAACCATTTTCGTATGCTATGGAACCCGACCACACAGAGCGAGCAGATCTAGACTCAAGCGTGCGAGAGAGAAGAGCAGCCACAGAAGCGCAGAAATGAGTGCAGATCTGCAAGGGGGAGAGAGAGGGACAGAGAGCACTCACTGAGAATGGAGATCTTCTTCCTCGTTGAAAGGGTTGGGATCGTGGCGGCGATTCGCCGTAGCAGTAGAAAGAGAGGGGATTTGAGCCAGAGAGAGAGAGGGGATTCACTCTTTTAAGGTAAAAACCTAAGTTATTTTTTCAGTTCAGTTCGAACAGAACTGAAAAAACAAGAATGGTTAGCTTTGATTATCCGAACCAAACCGAAATACACCAAATTTTTGGTTCAGTTTGGTTCGATTTTTCGATTTGGTTCTGACACCCTACGTTCCAGATGGACGTTTGTTAGACACGTCCCAAGTCCACCAACTCAGAAAGCTGTCCTAAATCAAGTTGTAGCGTCTGTATAGTCCATTACCATCACTTATATCAATGCCAACGACACTGTTTCACCAGCCACCATGGAAACACCGAGTCGAGAACACTGAAGCTGAGATCTGTTACCGTAAGCTAAAGTCAAATTTAAGAAGCTAGGCGATGGTATGAAATTTGATAGGCCAGTAAAAGAGAGATGCAGAACAGTCGGTGATGTTTGAAATGTAGTACTTTTTTTTTGGTCAGAAGCCAATATAGTACTTTGATTCACTCAGAACCAGCCATAGAGAGGTCCTCATTACATGGAGTAAGATACTTCAATGAACGTAGAGCGACTATCCATTTAACAATCAAACCACAGAATTCCCATGAAAGACCAAGATATCACAAGCAAGCTCGACAAGTTTCCTAGTTTTGAGCAAGTGCCCTGCTATATCCTCCATATTTTCCAAGCATCCAAGAAATTCAGGAATGACACTGCCATCAAATGCATTGAAGCTCTAGCCCAGATATCTCAGAGACTTGAGTCTCACCAGTGAAGGCCTGGTGTCCAATGACCGTGCCTGATCTAGGAATCATAGCCAGCGTGATATGGGTAGTTGGTGAAGATCCACTGTAAAAACTGCTTCTGTGTAATCCTACCACAGCCAATTCATCGCTATTCCCAACAGTTGTTTCCTCTGCACGACGATAGTAGAGCTTCAGGAACTTCGTTCTCGACAGCGATCAAAGAGAGCTTCTCTATCCAATTCCAAACAACTCAAGAAACCGATATCGAATTCCTTTCCATGAGATCACTGCGCAAGATGAGGCGAATGTGTGTCCAAGAAGTTGATGAACTGCAAGTCCAAGAAGTTTATCCTGGATTTTCAGATCACCAAATTTCGTACATCACAAGAAACGATGGTGATCAAAGATTTCTCCTATATGTACATCAAGATATTCTGAATATTCAAGAAATTGACACCAACGCAGTCACATATTAAGAAATTTTAGAACTCACGTTAAGACCCACAAAGAACACATATTCTTGTATAAGATTTGTATTAGCAATTAATTTCTATCATATCATCCACATAACAAAAAACTCGCCCTTCCTTGGTAACTCAATACTGAAAAGATTCTGTTATATATTATTTTTTTCTTATTTTCTTTTATATGCTGAAGAACAATGGTTGAATGCTCATTGTATTACTAGCAAAGGAAAGACTTACTCGTGTACACGTGCTAAACATTGAAGAACAAGAACATGTCTTGGACGTGCATATGCAAACAATAATGTTCAAGAAAGCAAGTTCTCGTACGTGGTACTGGTAGACATTGTCTGATGTCATCATAACACATAACAGTTCTTAAAGTAGAGACGAAAATCAGAAAGCATGCAACAGGAAAAGAGAAAATTTAACTTAACCGCCGGCTAACTCCCTTTCTGTTCTACTCCACTTTATAAGGTGCATCATCCCTTTCGACTTCGGGCATCGCAGAACGCCGCCACTTATGACCTGACCAATCTTCAAGATTTGTTCCACCGAGAAAAAACACAGGCCTCGCAATACAAGAACGGTCTGAAGAATTAATATCTTCTCATCTTCTTCACCAGAACCATCGTCCCCCTTCGACTTTGGTCATCACATGACACCGTCACTTACGCGCATCTGTTGTGATGTGCTAAGCCGAAGGGGACGATGGTTTCTGGTGAAGAAGATAAGACGGCATTAATTCGTTCCGACCATTCCTGAAGTGAGGCTTGTTCTTTTTCTCGATGGACGAATCTTGAACAATTTGCCTGTTGGAAAGGATTTTGGGATGGCAAAGAAAAGAGGGGGGGAACAGAGAGGTTTATAAAGAAAGCTCAACCATGCCTTTCTTTTTTATAGGCCCCAAGTTTGTGGCGGTTAGAGGTAGTTTTCAAACTACTAAATAGAAGTGCACCAAAATACAAGATCTCTCCTAAAATGACACTCTATCCTGCAAATCTTGAACAGAAAAATTAACAAAAAAATAAAATAAAAGAATACCGCCCCAATCAGTATGACAAAACATGAAAAATTAGCAAAAGGCCCGTCGGAGCTCGGTCGCTGCTATATCGATGAAGATCGGAGGCTCCCCTTTGAGAGGTCACACGAATTTGAAATGGTATAGTAAGACAGTCCCATGATTCTTTTCTTTCAAAGACTAATTTACATTAAGTTCTAAAGACCTTTTCATCTCCCTAACAGAGTTCTGATCCCAACTTTAAGACATGGGAAGCTGCTACGAGCTGTGACCCGATCCACAAACATGATTTTGTTTCCATGTCCTCGCTTTCTTTTCAATACACAAGTTATGCAATCCTCAATTCTTTGTCGAGGTGTTTTTCATGCCAGTCCTCAATGTGTATTGTTGGACAAGTTTCATGACCACATTTGCATACATGATTTGGCAATAAAAAGTGGGGGTGGGATTGCATAGTGCAAAGCTTAGTAAAGAATAACCTATAGCTGTAAATCCACATGGACAGAGCACAGAAATGAGATTGATAATCGATCCCACTTGCTTGGATCAATGACCGAAAAAAAAGAAGAAAATTGCATTGCATTCTACATCTTTACCTTTTAACTTTACAGCTACCTTGACAAATTCAGTCATGTTGTCGATATTTTATGATTCAATTCAAGTGTGACGTGATCTAGATCTTCGGGAATCTTGAATTGTTTTTGCTCGTTACGCTTCCACTGCAGCAACCTACGATGTAGATCCGATAGCATAGAAGATTTACCCTCAAATGTTTCCAGCTGAATCAGTGACTTGATGCACTTGACCAAGTACCCAACAGTCCGTTCTTTCAGTCGGCAGATAAAGCCTACTTCACTCTCTTCAGTCTCACACATCGATGAGGACATGTTCTCAACAATATCAGTTAACTTGAAGACGAGACAGGCACCTCTAATTGCCTCTTCCTTAACACAATCATCATTCCATAGAGCTGATACTGGTCCTTCAGAATAGCTTCTGATGTGCTTCAGTCCCGCTCTCTTGGTTTTCCCTGGCTGAAGTATCCTGCCAGTTGAGGCATAATGCAGCAACAGCTCGCACACATCTTCCTCCATGAAACTCGACTGTCCAATCAAGAGACCTAATAAAATTTCCCTGAACATCATACTCTGCTGCAGGCACCCATCAATTGATTGTCCTTCACATGATGCAGGAGAGTTCAAAAATTGAGTGCCATACCACCAATACAGGTTCTGGAAATCTTCAACCCAGTTCTCTATGCTTTGGCAATTATGCTCCTCCTCCTTGAAGTTATTATTGGCATTATTCTCAGAAAGCCTGGGTTTCTTGAGCTTCTTCTGCAAGACAGCTTTTTCTTCATCCCGTACACCTGAGGAAATTTGATTCACAGCCCAAGACTCTGATTGCTTAATCAAATGATCGACTAGCAATTCCTGATGAGTTATATTGATCGGGCACAAAATCCACGCAATGTACCTCGCAGCAGCAGTTCGACAGGACAAGGGTTTCATGTTATGCATCTGGTCAAATGTGCAATGCATGTGTAAACTTTTATCGCATAGAAGAGTGAGGGAAGCAAAATAGAACCAAACTGGGAAGTTGATTGCCTGTGCCCTACAAGGCAATGACAAAAATTACTTCTCAGGCATAGTTGTATCTGAAATTGACAAATAAATAAGTATTGAGTCGAAACTCACCACATAGACTTGTGATCCACCCTTGCCGCCTTTGTCGCATCTGAGTTCGCAGTTGAACTCTTGTTGCTAGTAAAATCAACCAAATTTAAAAGCGCCGCACATGATATAGGTCCCGTGAAAGATCTCAATAATTGGCGGTGAAAGGGAAAATATGCATCAGAAAAGGGCAGCTTCATTCCTGTTTCCATCGTTATCCCCCACCACATTGGCCTAGAAATTACATCCAGAATCACCGAGACTAATACAGTTGAAAACTCCAGCACAAAAGCCAAACCCCTGTTAGGCATGTGAAATGAGAAAAAAGCATCAAGAAGCTTATAGACGAAAAGAGCATCAGTAAAGCATGTACGATAGTAAACATGAATGCCATTTTGAACCTTTTTCAGTTGATGAATAAGAGATGTTTGAGAAACATCAGAATCTTATCCTCAATCAGTGAGGTATAGGATAAAATATTTCTGACTGAAAGGAAACCAAGATTATGTTTATTCAAGGAGATGTGGCATAACAGATATACAATAAACAAATGACGTTTCTTCACCAGAAAAATCCACCTCAACTTCATAAACTGAACAAAACACTGTTTTCACACCAGCAAAACTAGGGAGTTGAGTTGAAATCGATTAGAAGCAACAGAGCTAGGTTCTAAGAAAGCCTATGGGCTTAGTATTTTCCCTTTCACAGTCAGATGCAATCTTCCATTTTTTGGAGGCTGCAACAGAACTTCCCTAAGCATTGTGGACCAGCTCTGCTCAAGTTACTTATAAAACTCATCTAACAGGAACGCTAGAATCCAAGAAAATTGGTCAAGGTCCCTATCTCACAGAAGAATGTTGAAACTAGGTATAGCAATACATTGTACACAGATACTTTCACAAGCAAAAAATTCACAAAAAAATCAGTAAAGTAGGCCGAAATCTTGAGGCACATTGCAAGTAGGACATGAGAAAAATCAAATAAGAGCCTGACAATAGTGAGCATGAGTTGAATGCTGCCGCATGCTCACTATCAAATAGAGCTAGAACTTTCGATATGAAATTCATAAGATATAAGGACCACAAACTCACGTCTCCAAAAACCATCTATGTAACAGAGCCCTTGCCTCGAAAAACATTATAGGAGAAAGTACCAAGCAAACAACAATATTCCGCCAGGAAATCCTCTCATGCAATTCCTTATGCAAACAAAGGAAAGGTCTTTCCATCATTTCTTGCAAAATCTTAGAAATGTCATTGCTCAGAATCAGTGGATCGAGATACCAGAATAACAGCCTGAAAAAGAAAAAAAAGACAAAGATTGAGATAACAGGTCATCATACCTAAAGTTAAGACAAATATAGTCCTGAATAGGTTGACGAAATACAGATAAATATAGATAAACTCCCTTTGCCTCATTCATGCCCAAGGACAGAATGGAAGAGAAGTTGAAAAGTTCTTATATTAAAGAAAGCATGCTTGGGGCATGCTTTCAATAAACATATGCACAGATAGCCAAGTCAAGGACGATAGTATTGTATCAACATATGCACAAATCAATGTCCATAGCAGCTTTGTTGGCAAAGTACCTTAATGGTGTTTCATGGTTCTTAAGACAAAATCCTTGGGGTAAATAGTCAAGGAGCTTTGAAGCTGCAATTATTCTCCCGCTAACTGATTTTACATCAATAATGCGAGTCAAAGGGAACAAAAGCTGACTGTGAGATGCTGAAACCGCTACACGCAGGACAGCATGCAGTAGTAGATGAGAAAGTGTTCCTGCAATGTTTCAATCAAACTTCAGGTCTTAGCTCATAAATTAAAGACACACCGACCAATTGTAGATTTGCAGAATGAAACCCGAATAAAGGTGTCAATTCTTGCATCTCTAACCAATCTCTTCTGCAAAAAATGTTCTTCTTATGGAAAGGCCAAGTTCACAGGAAATGCTATCGAACCCAGTAAAGTTCGTGATCTATTCAAAGTAAAACCCAACATCAAACTATTACCAGAAATCAGAATCCTATGCTCTATCGTGAAGAAAAGCACCGTGGTAACCTACAAATACCAATCACTATAGGCGCAAGCAAGTGACAGGAAGACTCCATCTGTTTTTTTTTTTTTTTTCGCCTTTTCTTTTAGCTCAGCGTTTATCAAGGTAACTAATTATAAGACCAAGCAGGACAGGCGAAGAAAAAATCGACAGACCATCTCTCTGCAATTTCGGGAGGATGTCACTGCACGCCGCGACCACTTCGACGCAATCGGGCCGCGAAATCGAGCTCCCTATCTGCAAAGCTTCCTCTTTTCGGAAGCTAACCACCTCGCAGCTAATCGACGAGGTCAAAACCGCAGCGATCGTCTTCACCGTGTACTCGACCACCGAATCAAACACCTGGAGAGCATCATCACCGCCTCTCAACACTCGGAACTAGAACCATAAAAAAAAAAAAAAACGCACAAAACACCCAGCTTTCGCATCATTTCCAGACCTGAGGAGCTTTGAAGCACATGAGGGACAAGGCGGTGTCCAGGAACCGAACCGCGGGATCCTCGTCGCCGCCGCCGCCGCCGCCGCCGCCGTCGTCGCCGCGGAGGTTCAGCGACCGGTTCAGCCGCGAAATCGCGGCGACCAGCGGTCTCTCCGCGTCGTCCTCCCCTTCTCCTCCGTCGCCGATCGCGCGGGCCCGGCGAAGGGTTTCGAGGCGAGACGCGAGCGATGCGAAGAGATTCGTGATTTCTTCTCGGAGCGAGCGCCCGTCCATGGCGAGCGAGCGAGCGAGAGAAGGAGAAGATCGGGACCGCGATGTTTCGCGCCAAAAAAAATCGGGGCTTTTAAAGCTGGTTCGTGGGCTTTGGGAATGGGCCCGGGCCGAAATCGAAACGGGCTGGGCTCGAGGCGGCCCAATAAGGTAACGTACGCTTTTATAATTAAAAATTATAAAAAACGAAAAAGAAAGGGAAATTTCAAATAATTTATGTTCGACCAAAAAAATAATAATAATAATTTATGGAATTTTTTAGTACATTATGTATGTCCAGAAATCTGCGCATGGGAAACGACGTTGACTTTGACCGTGACGTCCGTGGGTGGATGCCATCTCTATATTTATTTATCAATTATTTTTTCGGGGAAATATAAATTTCCTGGCCATTCGAAAATTTTCGAAAAGTTCGACCCACAACAAAAAAAAAAAATAGAAAAATTTCCGAAAAGCGCAAGCGAAATCCTGGGACGACACGTGGCGGCCGCGGGGTGGGGTTCGGGTGGGGCCAATCGGATCCCCCACGAAAAGGGCCGTACATCGAAATCACACCGAGCCGGGGGGGGTGGTGCCCCACCAATAAAAAATTTGAAATAAATAAAGTTTGTAGAATTATTATTCGCATGTTTTTTATATCAAAACCTTAAAAGGGAGAAAGGGACAGGACCACCTACACCTAATTTAATAAAACCACCCCGCCCATAATGAAAACATTTATCATGTGCTCCTTTCAATAAACGGGCAAAAGGGGGTTTTGATAATTCAGCCCACCTCTTTCATTTCACCAACATATAATTTCCATTCCTTCTTATACTGATAAATTTTCATTTCCATCTCGGTCGGACACCCCCGAAGCGCCCCGGCGGGCGGGCGGGCGGGCGGTGTGTTTAGCGTCGTGTTTTTTTCCCGGGTTTTCTTTTCGACGGGATGATAAAAGCCGAAGCCCCGCTTTGATCGCGAATTCACGGCGAAAACCGTTTTTTAAGCCAAAGATGATGCCGAAAGAGGCACGATTTTTTCTCTCCTTGTTTGCTTGGGCTTTTTTGAACTTCACTCTTCTAATTGATTGATCTCCCTCACTACCTTATCACCAATGTCCCCAAAATGAAGAGAGATTTGGGGGGGGGGGGGGGGGAGATCAAGGAGTGAAATAAAGGCTGTTGCATGAAAAAGCCCAGCCAAGCAAGCCAAACCCCCCAAGCAGAAAAGCAAGAGACAGAAACAGCATTTGCAAAAATTTGCCAAAACAACAGTCACAAGAAAAAAAAAAGAGCTGCAACAAAGAGAAAATGAACTTTACATATCCATAAAGAAAAGAGAGGAGCAGCTTCAATTTTGCACTTTCCATTTTCCCATTTCTGTCCACCCCTTTTCCCCCCCAAACAAGTAAAGACAAAACAAAACAAAAGGGAAGGAAAGACTCTCTCTCTCTCTCTATGCCACTTTCTCTCTCTACCTGCAGAACCCACCATTTCCCAAGAAGGACTTCCCCAAAAAAGAGAACCACAGTCTCCCTCCCCCTCCTTCCCACTCTGTATTCTCTGTTCTCTATACCAAACCTTCCTTCTACTATTCACAGTATTAAAAGCCCTAGAAAGAAAAACCCTAAAGAAGAAGAAGAAGAAGAAGCCCCACCAAGAAACCAAGAACAAGGAGCCTAACCCTAGTCCGTCCACCCACCCACCCACCTGCATTCCTGCATTTACTTCAGTCCGGTCAAAAGCAGTCCCTCCTCCTCCTCCACACCCAGAAACCCTGCAACAGCATCGTCGTCAGCATCCGCGCCAAACAAGCAGTCCCACCCCTCCAGCACCACCCCGCACCCGCGCGGCGCCTCCCCCTCCTCCGAGCCCGAGGCCCACGCGCCTCCCACCTCCGGCCCCCGGTCCCGGCCCGCTTCCGCGTCGCCGCACCCCCCACGGAGGGCGCCGATGCCGCGCGTGTCGATGCTGGCCATCACCGTGGACTCCGACTCCGAGAAGGACGACCCGCAGCTCTCCTCGTTGCCGTTGATGGTCACGAACGACGACGAGGACTGGAAGACCACCGGCGACGCGTACGGGTCGTCGATGAACCTCACCTTGAAGTTGAAGGCCGCGCCGCCCCCCGCCGCCGACGACGGCGACGACGAGCAGGGCGGCGACTCGGCGGGCTCGAGGAGGTTCAGGAGCTCGGACACCGCGTCGTCGTCGAGCGCCAGCCACGCCAGTATGCAGTCGTCGTCGTCCTCGTCCTGGCCGGCGCCGCCGCCGCTCTGGGGCTCCGCGCGCGCTTCGGCCGGCCTCGGCTTCTTCGCGTCGGGGTCCCCCCCGCCGCCGCCGCCGCCGTCCGCCGCTCCGTCGGCTTGCCTCTTGCGCGCCTCCTCCATACGAGCTAGAGAGAGAAAGAAGAGAGAGAGTGCGCGCGCTTCTTCTTGCAAGGGAGAGAGAGAGAGAGTATAAATATATATATAGGGGGGGAGTTGCAGGATTTTGTCGAGGTTGCCAGGCGACGAGGACGGTGCCACGTCGGACGGAGCGGGGCCCACCGGAACTAAAAAACAGGGTGATTTTCTCACCCGGCAAAATTAGGAAAAAAGAAATTGAAAAAAAGGGAAAAATGGCGAGGGCCCGATTTTTTTTTATTTCTATTTGCAAGTTTTTTACCATTTTTTCTTTCATTTACTGCCTGGCAAAATAATTAAGCATCTGATTTTTAGGCCGAGCTGGCTGCTCGGATGCGAACGCAATGACACGGCGACGCGAATTGCCGACCACCCCGCAATTAGAAACCATAGCGCATTTTTAAGGAAGATGGCGAAAAAGGGTCCGGTTTTCATATATGTCAACCGTGGATTCTGGTGCGTATCGAGAAAAAAAAATAAAAGGGAAATAGATTAAATGTGGAAAAATCTAGAAATTGGGCAAATGGAGGGAAGAAAAAGGAGGAAAAAAGGAGGGGGGAAACAAAAGTGACAGCTTGGGGCGCCACGTGTCGAGCGGAGAGGCGGGGGAGGTGAGGTGGCTGCCTCCATATGGATTTGCCAGTTGTGTCATTTCCTTGTTTTATTGTTCCTTTTTTTATTGTTGTATTTTTCCCATTTTAATCATTGGATAGAGATAAAATAAGATTACTACTTAGCCTTTAAGCAAGGCATAAAGGGGAAAAAAAACAAATGACCTTCCAATATAATTCATGGACACTAAATCTTTTTTTCTATTTATTTTCTTATTTGTTACTAGATTAGATCGGGAAAAAATTTCTCTTTTCTGAGCATGGGAACATGTTAAGATTTTCATGTCGACCGTGTATATTTGCGTGCGTGATGGTTACAGAAGTTTCGTGACACAAAAAAAGAAGTCGTTATTTTTGTCTTTACACGATGCAAATGTGGGTTTTTTTTTTTTTGGGTCGAATGCGGGGGTTAGGAAAGGAGGGAGACGACTAAAAAATCGTAAAATTTATATATAAGAGAAGTTTCATTGGCCTATTTTTTTTTGGTCGAAATCGGCCTGTTTACTAACATTCTCTATCACAAATTAAATAAAAAGGCTTTCAGAATAAAAAATGAGAAAAAATTTGGTGCACATAAAATGTAATTATTTATTTTTTTGGTAGGGCATAAAATGTATTTATTAGGTGAGCTGATGGTGCATATCTTTTTCTTTTCTTTTTTTCATAAATACAAGAAAAAGAAGTTGGCGAATTTGGGTCTTCTCTAAAGAGGTGTGGCGTCATTCTCATGCATTAGGAGGATTTGGTGCGAAGACCCCGTTACATTAAAACGAAGTACAAGGGACAAAAATACTATGGAAAATCGAAAAACAAAACGATCATCATATAAATTTTTTTTTTATTCTCGTCCAATATCCACCCGGGTTTCCAGTTGGGCATCCTTAGCGCAATCGAACATAATCAAATGCATTCGAGTTCTGATTTCTCTCATTCAAGCATGTAGTGTGAACTAGCGTGTCGACACGACACGCTTCTACCGTAAGGAAAAGTTCGAAAATCGATGGGTCAATTTCCTTGCGGATTGATCCATTTTTTGCAGGGATAATGATACAAAAGTCCCAGAACTTTGGTAAAAATGTGCTATATGATTCATAAACTTTTCATTTGTTCAACGTACTCCCTGAACTTTAACCTGATATTCAATGTGGTCTCTAGACTTTTTATACATGTTTAATGTGGTCCCTAGACTTTTTATACATATTTAATGTAAGGATTATTGAACATTTTCATATATTTCAGGGACTAAATTTAACCTGTATTAAAAGTTCAGGGACGACATTGAACAGAGTAAAAATTCAAGAACCACATTATATATCGGGTTAAAGTTCAGAAACTACATTAAATAAATTAAAAATTTAGGAATCGCGTTACGTATTTTATTAAAGTTCGTGAATTATTTGTGTTATTTTCCTATTTTTTTTTTTGAACAATAAGTGGATCTCTCCATCAAAGCAAAAGAGGCGCGCTGGTGAAATTGGTCCTGGGGGCGAATCGGGTTTTTGCTCTGGCCGCAAGTACTGACCGCGACATCGCCACTTTTGCCTCCAGCTACACGACTGCCCTCTCCCCGTCTACGAAAAAAGTAGCAGAGTGTACGATCGTAATCATCGTGTTTCGCCAGAAAGCCAAGACCCCTGTCTCTGTTTCCCTGCTGCACGATTCGGCCGTAGTTACCAAGAACTTCCCTCCTCCCCCCCCCCCCCCCTCCTTCGGATTTTGCTTCGATCAAACTTATTTAAAAAAGAAAGTTCCTTTCGGGAATTTCGAAAAGCGAGAGGTATCGTGTACGCGTGGGGTCATATTTGACCCGGTACATTGTTATTTTTTATGTCGAGATAACGATACCAGCGGTCCGTAAACTTTAACTCAACATGCAATGTGGTTCAATGTAATCCATGAACTTTAGCCTAATATTTAATGTGGCCCATGAACTTTCGATTTATTCAATGCGATTCATGGCCTGAATATTTTCATATAGTTCAGGGATTACATTGAACATGTACCAAAAGTTCATGAACTACACTGAACAAATTAAAAATTGAGGGATCATATTGCATATTGAGCTAAAATTCAAGGACTATTTGTGTCAAATACCTTTTATTTTATGGGTTAATACTACGAAAAACCCCAAACTAGTACACTTGTGACAATTTTACCCCAAACTATTTTTTTGACCACAAAAAACCCCAAACTGGTACACCTGTGACAATTTTACCCCGAACCATTTTTTTGACCACAAAAAACCTCGTACTGGTACACCTGTGATAATTTTACCCCCGAACTAATTTTTTGACAATAAAAAACCCCAAACTGGTATACCGGTGACAGATTTACTCTCCGTTAGTTTCCGTTAAATTTTACTATCAAATTGCTAAGTTTAATGACATGTGGTAACTGATAGGTGTACCGATTTTGGGTTTTACTCCTCTATTTGTCACAAGTTTACCAATTTGTGATTTTTCGTGATATTAATCCAATTTAACGGACACTAACGGAGGGTAAATTTGTCATAAATGTACCAGTTTGAGGTTTTTAGTGGTCAAAAAATTAGTTCGTGGGTAAAATTGTCACAGGTGTATTAGTGTGGGGTTCTTGGTGGTAAAAAAAATAGTTTAGGGTAAAATTATCACAAGTGTACCAGTTTATGATTTTTGGTAATTAAAAACATAATTCGGGATAAATTTGTCACAGGTATATCAGTTTAGGGTTTTTTGTGGAAAAAAAAATAGTTTAGGGTAAAATTATCACAGGTGTACTAGTTTGGAGTTTTTGTGGTATTAACCCTTATTTTATTAAAAGATCTCATATCAAATAGTAGTTGAGTTGCAGGGGATCCCGATAGTTGTTCTGTGGTTGCCAAACGGAGGCTGTCCTCTCTTCCTCGACCGACGAAGAGCTCCTCGGCAGTCGATGAGGAGCTTGCATGCCGCGGCCAACCGATTGGCGTTGGGAGAGTAGCGAGATGACGATGAGAAGCCAGCCGACTCGAAGGGGGCGGCGCCGGAATGGAGCAACGACACTTCCCGATCATCGAACAAGGGCGAGTTCCGTCCGTAACTGCGCCGGGGCTTTGTCGGTTCTGACGGTACGGATGTATTTACCCCCACACACACACATAGATATATATATATATATATATATATCTACCTAGACACACCCCACCCTACACGATTCCTAACCAGGAGTCGTGCGGAGATAGACTGCGATTTTTACTTTTGGGGGAGGGGGATTTCAGATTTGGTGGTCCCAAAAGCCGAAAAAGAAGGCAAAAAGGACCCGCAGTGCAGCGGAAGTAGCTCGTGTCCTTCATCATCTTTCGTTCAAAAAGCTGGGCAAAAAGGCACCGAGAGAGAGAGAGAGAGAGAGAGAGAGAGAGAGAGAGGCTTTTGGTGGGAAAACGTGGTGTTTGGGATTCGGACGGTACGAACGGGCATGCAATTGCAAATTGCACGTGACGTGCATGCAGAACATGCTTCTCAAATTACTCCTGCTTTTGTGTCTCTCATAATCCCAGATGTTCAAGAGACCATTGCCGAGCTCCCGAAGAGCTCTACCTTATAATTTCCATTCTCGATGGAACTTAGACATTGCTAATACCTGCGCGCGAAGCTAAGCGAAGGCTAAGACATATGAAGCGAAGTAGGACGAAAAGTCTATCTATTTGGTAATCCCGTTAAATCTTTCCTCTGTTTCTCACCTGAGAAGGCGGACCTGCGAAAGGTTTGGCCGATGCCATATCCACACCTCTACTGGCTACATATGCCAATATCTTTGAAACCAGCTTCAGTTCATCATCTGCATAAAAGCGAGTCCTGGCACTCGCGGATCAGTTCAAACGATGACTAAATCCCTACAGATTTTACAGCAGCAACAGCCGGCGAAAACCCGCTTGTCTGATTAGTATTTGAGATCCGGAGAGCTGTTCTCGTGACACTCTCATGTCTTCGAGCATTCCAGTACATGCGCCTTGAAATTCTCGAGCTCAGCCAAAACCTCTTCTTCCGGTCTGTAGATCAAATCGCTCATTCGCCATATCTGCAGAGATGGACATGTGCACTGAGTATCTCTATTCGATTATACTTTTAGAAATAACATGCACCCGGTGAGATGATGGCCAAACAACAAGTGTACCTGCAATGTACCACCTCCTCCGGCGGTATCACAGTCATCGGATACGCTTACCATTGTCCATGGATCAGCCGAGTTCCAGTGGAAGTCAACAATTTTGTCCCTGGATGACACAGCATAAAGGCAAATATGTTAATTACAAATGAGCCACTCGAGGCCTTAGATAGGTGAAAATACAGATAAACCAGCACGGTAATAGTTTGGTCATAGTACATAATATTTCCATCTAACATCCATATCAAACCAGCCACCTCATAAAATCCCGTCGTAGCTTTCACATCAAATCACTCATTTATGTTTCCCTCAAGTCGGATGCCTTAACAACACTCCCCAACACTAAATCAACCGTAGCCCTCGACTTTAAATAGAATCCCCTTCATAGCAAATGTGCCTTATTGATATCAGAACATACAGCTGACAGACAGATATAGTGATACAACTTAGAAACACCCTGATAATTAGACATCATTGGTGAAGGCAGGGGTCTGGCCAAACAACGAAGCAAGAAACTAAACACAATATATAGTTTATTGTTCTTAATCCATCTTTTTACTCCCTAAGTTTTCCCTACCTCCTGATTATGAGAGAGCTCCAACCAAAAAAAAAACAAAAAACAAAAGAAACATTAAAACAAAGAAAGAAATAACTAATGGGTTAGACTAGACTTACTGATTGAGGAAAAAATAACATAAAAGAATGCTGGTACACCAAGATCAAATCCTAAGAGTAACTGAAACGTTTAGAGCACTCTTAAGGTTAAGCCAAAGCTTCAAAATCGTACAATGAAATACTACTTACTTAGGTTGGACTTAGATTACACTATAATTTGACATTTGAAAGCTTAATTCACCTGTGCCCAGCATGCTGGAAAAACAATCCCGCAGGAGCATTTGCAGCCCTGTCGACCTTTTTATCAATCTGCAAGACAAAAATTTCAGTACAAATTCCCGCATATACTCCACATGAAAGTAAAGAACCACTAAATTCAATTTTATATCAAGCCAAAGTATCGAACACTGCAAGAGACATAAAACATGCAGATATTGAGAAACCAAGTCTGGCAAGACAAAAAGACAAACTGCCTCACCCTCTCATAATCCCAAATGTTCAAGAGACCATCTTCAGCGGAACTCCCAAAAACGGAAGGCTTGTCTGGAGACCACTGGAATATGCATGAAAAATCAAGCACGGTAAATACTACAAAGCAATCTTATACAGAGAATATATATTTCGAAAAGCTAACTCTATAACAATAGAAGAGAAGGAAAATCCATGGACACCTGCACACAAAGAACAGCTGCCTTATGGCCCTCAAACTTGTAGACTGGTGAACCAACTCCATTAGAAGTGAGATTTCGCCGATCAAACATGTTAACAGAGTTATCTGCCGACCTAGGGAAATGTACCATATAATTCAAAGAAAAGAATTATGTCATCATCGAATCTATACAAAGCATAAACCTGTAGACTTGATCCATAATTACTTCTAAAAGTAAACCACACGATAATTAGAACTTGACACAGGAGCATACCCAGTTAAAATTAGGTTATTGTCATGGGGATTCCAATCCACACAATGGAGGTCACCATCATGTGCCTTCTCAACCTGATTCAACAAAAAGTGAGGCAGCCAATATATAACATCAGAATCAGGCCAAAGAAAGGCATATATCATCAGAAGCAATAGCATTTGAATATTCAAAGAAATCTTCAGTCCAGACAAAGGTCAGCAAGAATGGAAAAGCAGCAATGTACACAAGGGCATCAACTGGATAATAAGGAAAAATAATTTTCTCAGTATAAATCCATTTGTATGCTGTTAAATTAACTGTGCTGCATCACGTACACAAACGAGAGGGAATTAGTTAGCACATACATCATGGCACAATCTGTGATATGGCATTTAACACAAAATTGACATGTCCAAACCGCTTCTAAATCTCTTCCTTCATCAGCCTGTATGCAGGGCCAAAGTGAAAAAAAAAAAGGCCAAACTATTTTATCTAACTAATCATATTGCAGCTTTATCAGCATATATTTGTTGCACTGACTTAGTCAATTCTTCTACCCTGGTTGGAGAGAGAGGGAGAAGGAGAGGTGAAGGGGACAGATAGAATGAATGAGGAAGTTAGTTAAAACATGCTGCATCACTCTAGCACAAGACACAAAAGATGTGATATCATTATTACTGAAATCATGCATAGATAAAAGCAGGTAGAGAGCACAAACAATATAAAATAATAAGATTAGAGGGCAAGGAAGAAGTGAGACATAATACGGAGACCTTCGCAACTGGATTAGTGCCAACTCGTGCATCCCACAATATAAGGCATGAATCATCACCAACGCTACAAAATTCCTGTGCACTTTAGAAGACAAAAGTAACCATCAGACAAGGAAGACCTCATGTCCATCTATAGCAGCTAAAATTTCAAATTCAAATCTCACAGTAAACATATATATCAGGTTCTGACAAAATAATGCATATTTCCTTTAACTATGCCGCTTACGTGGATGGACAAAAAGCCACATCTTCAACAGTGTCCTCATGTCCACAGTAGATTCCTCGTGGTCCAACAGAAGGGCCATTACCATCCTCATTACCTTCCCCGGTCTTCTTAATGATGGATCCTCCAGATCCTGGAGATTTATTTGTTGTTTGATCAGTTGCAGATGCTGTTATATGGTCTTGAATACTCCACAAAACCACCGTCTTATCCTTTCCTATGAAAAAGGCATTTATTATATTCTTTTTAATTAACCAAATAAATGTAATTGTGGGTACAAGGAAAGGCACTCATTCACGCAAACGGTAACCAAACTAATTCCTTGAATACGTCTTCCAAGTTTCAAAATCAGTAGATCACAAAATTACCAACAAGATAATATTAGGCAGCTCCCTGACAACTAAATGGAAAAACCAAAGAAAAAGAAAGAAAAGAAAGGATAACAAGGGAAATGCCATCCTACTCTGCACAGCACCTTCATTTTTCCATGCAAATTCTTCTCTTCAAAACTGTTTCTTTGCCAATTCATTCAGCATGCATAGTCATAGTCCTTCCTAAATAAATTTTCCCTTATCGATGGGCCACAAATACAGAAAATTCCAATCCTTGACAAACAATATCAAACCAATAATATCCTACCTCCAGAAAGAACGAAGGGTTCAGCTGGACACATTGCAAGGGCAAATTCAGCATTCTCTTGATGTCCAGTTAAAATCTGCCAAAAATAGCCAAAAGGCATATATCAAAAGAGATGCAAACATCCGAGCCAGCATGGAACTATAACCTTTGCTGAAGCCTGGCAAATCAACCGGTGCAATAGAACATTTCGAGAAATTCGAAGCTCAGGACACCTGGTGAGTTAATATAAGTTCGTGAAGGCAGACGAGCCTTGCATTCAGAAATTATTGCAACTCTGAGACATAAACTTTTTTTTTTTTCGGGATAATTGCAAAATCACCTTCAACATTTCTCTTCATATCAAATACCCTCATCACATTTCAAAACTTAACAATTTGCCTCTCCCTGACCTAAAAAGACCATTTGTCCTCATGCACACCCAAAATCTACACCCACAAATGAAACCTAATGTTGAGGAAGGTGAAATTTGGGAAAGAAAGGCAACTTATTAAATTTTATGTAGCTAGGAGATGCAACTTGAAATCCATTGCAAAATTGAGAATGATGATTGTAGGTTTTGGAATACGAGGAGAATAATTGATATGGGGAGCAAAGTTGAAGATGGTATTTTTAATATTCAAAGTAATGTTAGGAATACTAGAAATTTTACTAAAATTGGTCAACTAGGTATTCAAGCGAGCTAAAGTGGATTCATAAAGTGATGGGATCCAACCACGAGATAAATTTAACTATTTGTACAAACAAGATCAATTACGGTACTTAGTAAACAAGTGTTACTACAAGTTTTTAGTATCTTCATCATCTTTGAATTCAGCATCTCACAGTCATCCTCTTCAACTGTGAAAATACTCTATCAGTTCCCCATGCATAGACCAAATTACAAGTTTCACATGTAACTTGCCCCAAAACGACTGATTAATCGAGCTTACAACAGTAAGCAGCATGACCGTTTTCATTTTTTCATCCAAACGTACCAGATGAGTTTTTTTCCAGGAGCTACTAACAATTGGCAAATGAAAAAAAAAAAAATCTAAAAAGGCATCAACACTGGAAGACGCATTGGGTCTGATCAGGAACACACCAGATTTGGACGTGAAGCCGAAGATCCAAAGACAGCATGACGGTTAGGCTGAGATTCCACGTCCCAAATGAGAACCTGAAATTCCATATAACATCAGAAGCACTTACCAGATTAAAGAGCTATGAAATTAATTAGATTGCACAAATCCCAGTAAAAACCATAAGAAAAACCTCATAATAAACTTACATCTGGGCTGTCAGTGTGAGTTGCCACAATATTGGGATTCTGAGGAAGTTCCCTGATTCTATTAACCTGGAGGATGATAATCCATGATCAATGTAGAGGAAAACCATGCACATCATAAAGTAAAAAGTAGACCGAATGAATAAATACATACATCGAACATTTTAAGATAGAGAAGCAAAAGGTAGGTGAGTTGGCACATAATATTTCCGTATATTTGCTCAAAGATTATAAAAGAAAGTGAACTAGATCAGAGTTTGGATAACAAACAAGGTAGAAAGATCACCAAGGTCTCAAATTTGAAAAAAAAAACAAAGATTTTGCATAATCTGATTGTGAATGTTTCTGTTTGATTACGAGCTTGCCCAGTGAGAAATGAGAGGTACCTCTCCAGGATGAATAATCGTCTTGTACTTCCTAATGAATGGAGAGCGTGCTTCCTCATTAAACTGAAAATCAAGTATGAAGAGATTAAACACCACATCGTTAAAGTTAACAAGGATGAGATACATATAAATGCATAAACAACAACTCCATCATATGTCTGCGAATGACCTGGGACACGTGCTCTGCAGCCGCAACTCTAGGTTTCACAACTTCACAGTTTGCTATCACCAAAGTATTTGGAACACTACCATCAGTCTGAGAACAAAAAGAAAGAGATTATAGAAGCCATAAAGAAAGCACAAACAATAAACTCTAGTTTCGTCAATTTGCCACCAAAGGAGCAACGAGATGCAGATAAAAAGTTCAAGGTTGTTCGAACTTCAAACAACTTCAAATCAAAAACACATAAGTCTCCTCTCTCAAGTCAATATTAGTGATGTACATCAGCACTGAATTCAAAATAGTACTAAAATTTACAATGCTATATTCAAATATCCAACTCATAAATAAAATCTTGTGTCAATTGCAGGAGGCAGGTGAATATATTCAGTAATAATAATAATAAAAAAACTAATTAGCTAAACTTCAACCTGAGAAAAATGCTTGTGCTTTCAGACTCAACCTGCTCGTGCATTCAGATGCGAGGTACTCCTTGTTGAACTTTAAAACTAATATGAGGGTTTGACAACAATTACTATCGTTCTCTAGCTTTCCATGTAAACTTAATTTTCCTATTATCCATAAGGGCAGAATTCTCGGCGTTGTTTTTACGAACTTTAATATTGCATGTGCAGGCAGAAAGAGATGTTCAAATTATTTTAACACAACCACGTAAAAGTCCCCACCAGTTTATTAACCTGTGAATTTTAGTTACAGGTCCTCCTTATTACTAAGGAAACCGCTAGATAAGCACCTAATAAACAGTGTCACACAACTTTAGACTTCTATACCACATCATCATTTGTTACCTGCTCAGAAATGTAAAGCCGCTGCCGATTCTTATAAGTTGCTTGCTCGAGTTGCGGCCCCCACCTGCATGGTGTCAGTTATCACCAATCCAAATCCACCTATAAACGAAACAATCCACAGAAGAAAAAAAGAAAATCGCCAAGCCAACGCATCAACACAAACGAACAAAACCTTTGATCCGTACCCACAAGCTTCTCCTTAACATTCAAAGGATCACTGACACCTTCCTCAAAGTCAAAACCCTAAGAAACCTGGCACAAACTAGCAGCCACATTAACCCTGCACACCTCACTTCACCACAACGGTCCCTCCCAAAATCCAGCATTTCTGAGACAACTCCTCCGAACCAAACCTCACAGGATCAAAAGAATATTTAAACCCTACAAATCCACAGGCACCAAACTTTGCACGAAACCAAAATGCGGTCTCAGACCGGCACAAGAGAGAAGGTCAACGCGTGCTAAAACCCTAAAACCCTAAATCAATCCAAAATCTACCCAGACCTACGAACGCCGCACTCAGCAATACTTTGAACCTCCAAGAAATTCAACACCCACGCCGCTTCACCCAAGCAAAACACCTCGCGCAAAAAGGAACCCTCGATTTCCACCGGCGCTAACCGAAACAGCGAACGCAGAGAAACAGGAGGGCTTTTTGAAGTACCGGCAAGAGAGAGAAGGCCAGAGGAGGTTGTGGTTGGCGAGCCAGTCGTAGAGGACGGGGACGAGGGACTTCCACCGGGCGTACTTCTCGTCGACCGCGTGCTGCTGCTGCGACCTCCTCTCCTTGGCCCCCGCCGACGCCGACGACGACGAGGACTTGGCCGCCCCCGCCGCCGCCGCCGGCTGCTGCTGCTGCTGCTGCTGCGGCGGCGGCTGCTGGTGGTGAGGCTCCTCCTTCTTGTCCTCCTTCGGCTTCGGCTTCCGCCCTCGCTTCTTCGGGGCCTGCGGCTGCGACTCCATCGCCGGGAGCGCTCTCTCTCTCTCGCTGTCCCGCTTCGCTAGTTTGCTCTCAGTCTGGTAGTGGTAGCCTGGTAGGTGGGGGAATCGGAATCGAGAGGGTTATAATAAAAAAATTCGGTTACATAAGGAAATGGAGGTGTAAAAAGTCAATTACCTTAGAATTCTCGAGGTAAAATGATACGGACCAGTCCCTAAATTTTATTTCAACGTGCGATGTGATCCATAAATTTTTAATTTATTCAATATAGTCCATGAACTTTAATTTAATGTACAATATCATCCATGAACTTTTAAATTTGTTCGATATAATCCTTGAACTTTAACTCAATATGCAATTTCTAGATTACATAAAAATGTTCAATAGAAACACAACATCGAACATTTTCATATAGTTCATGAACTAAATTAAATAAATACCAAAAATTCAAGGACTACATTGAATATTGGGATAAAGTTTCAGGGACCATATTGTATATTTGATCGAATTTTATAGATCGTTTATGTCATTATCTCAATTTTTAACAAATTCCAAAAATCCCATGGAAGCGGTGGTTCTAATTTCTCAAAATTCCCGTTGGAGTGGATTGCTTCAAAATACCCTTGAAACACGACAACCATATCATGACTTTGTCTGTCTTTTCTTGAGTGAAGATTGACGCAACCAATCTTGAGTGAAGATTGACGCAACCAACATAGAGGCGTAAACAAACAGGAAAAATAACACATATAGTACATGAAATTTGGTCAAATGTCTGATATCTTTCTTGAACTTTTCATTTGTGCAATGAGGTCTATAAATTTTAACCCAATGTGCAATATCATCCATAGACTTTCGTTCGATGTAATCACTAAACTATTGATAAATGTTCAATACAGTTCTTAAATTATATTAGAATGTATAAAAGTTTAAAGATCACATTAAATGTCGAACCAAAGTTCGAAAATCATACTAAACAAATTAAAAGTTCAAAGACAATATTACACATTAAATTAAAGTTCAGTGACTTACTTGTAAGTTGCTTGAGCTCGAATCACAGATGACTCGAGAGCGAGGTTCGAGTCTTCTCATGTTTGAGTGGATTTTTAACACCTCAAGGTACTTCGTAGAGCCAAGCTCGAATCTAAAAATAAATACGACTAACTTGCAATCCTAATCGGCAGTTCTCGTATATTTGATTGCGCAACGTAATTGAAAAATCTAATTTCCATTCACCAGTTATTTTTTCTTCTTTTCTTTTCTTTGTTGTTTCATTTTCTCCACCCACAAACCAATCGAGTAATTTGAAAACATCACTCTGACTTTGGTTCATAGGCTTTTCTCCTGCACGCCCAAATGCCATTGCATTTCAGAATTGGAATTCAAGCTCCCCACCTTAGATTGCACATTATCTACAAGTCTGAATCAAGTCAGAATCGAATTTGAAACCGACCAAAGTTACTGCCAAATATCGGGGACGAATGCGCCGGTTTACCAGCTTCTCTGCTGAAACTCAGCGCCAAGACATTCTGGACTTCCTGAGTATTTTCACATGCACATTGATTGCAACAAGACTAATTAAGTTCCACAAAGCATGTAAAGCATTCAGATATATTTCGGTAGCCATGGGGAATCAAACAACATTGGCTTTGAGAAATCACTATGTCATTCTACAAATGAAAACCTCCCTGATTAAGTCTGCCAAAACTTTTCCCAGCATTCACGAGGACATTGTCCGTTATAGATAACTATATCCAGTCGGATAACAGCAACCAACTCAATCGAAGTGACTCAAGCATCAAACATAAACGCCCGATGAGAGAAGAAGAAATAAGGACCCGAATCCCTGCACCAGAAAGGGAAAATCAGAAACAGAATGGTAACCTCACGTGCTCTCTCGTGCATGCAAACGTATTGATCTGTATTTAGGCTCGTGATTCTACGAGCATGTATGTGCATGTACAGTAGATGACACGAAGCAAAATGTACCAGGAAGACCGATGCCACTGCCCCTGTAGTTACCTCCTTGACAAGGCTAAGGTTCCGTCTTGAGGAGGTTGTCTCATAACTGCAAAAAATAAGTATCTCAGGCTTAAGAAAGCAGGTGCAGGGGCAGAAACAAAGGATAGTCTGAGTGCTGCTACAAATCTGGAAGATGTTGAACATCATCCATCTGTTGATCCCGGCTATTCATTTGACATTGGAGAACCAGAACTGCTACCAGTCCTTTGGCTAGTTAATATTTAGCAATGACATAAATATGCAAAATCAGCCACTAACTCAATAGCACGGTTCAGTTTAGGGAATCTCCCACAAGAGCCAGAACTCAGTAAGTTCCCTAATGCTCACATCTCTCCAGATCCCAATTCACAAAGTCAATAATGGACAAGTCACAAGCTGGCCTGGGGCCATCACTCCCTTGACACCACATCAAAGAAAGTGAAAAAACTGGATCACTTCTAACCAAAAAATCTCTTCCCCAAGCACATACCTATAGTGGGAGAGATATAGTCCGCTCTTAAAGGGAGATTCATTGTCCTAAAACTAAGAAAATCAAATCCTTATTTTTGAATTGATGTTTCATATCCTTCCTTCAGTGAATGTGGAGATAAACAACAACACAACTCATGAGTCGTGACTCTGAGTTCTAGAACAATGGAAGTCACTAAGCTGGATGCAAAGAAGTTGAAGACAAAGAAAAGAGAAAAGACAACCATCCGAACAATGCAATAACTGTACCTACTGGGTATACTTCACTTTATCAATATCCAATTGCGCTAATTTCCTATCGCCCGTTACATCACAGCTTGCAACTCGATATAGTACCACACGGTTCACACCTACAGCGCAATTTTTGACAAAATGGACTCTCTGTTTCCTCCCTAACGGAGGTTCAAAGAGCTCCCAAGGTGAACATCGAGTTCTAAGTGCCATGTATATGACAACATCACACGAATTATCCACAATCTTACATTTTAAACCTAAGAGTCTACTTGAAAAGCAGCGACCAAGGTGCAATGCCAATGTCCAAAATAGAGAATCAGGTTCAAGATCAAACTGAAACAACTGAACCGGCCACATCGTTTGCATCCATCCCGGATCGTCAACGAAAATCCATCCTACTCTCAACATCACTACTATCCAGTCTTCCTAACTACAACACGGCAAGCGCCGGCGATCTAAATCGCAATCGACGGAGACCAGTCAACGAGTCCTCGAAACTGCAGTCTAAACTCAAATCCCTCCAAAACGCGACGTTCAGGAGGCCGGATGCTTTCACCAAGCAAGCGAGCGAGCGAACAGCAACAACATCTCCGACGACTCAAAAAACTCCAAACCAAACACAAATAAAAGGGAGAAAAACAAGCTGAAAAATGGCGTGTGGAGGCCAGATCGGAGCTCACATGAAGAACGCGGCGGTGAAGACGAGGCCGATCGCGAGCATGAGGAAGGCCAGGGTCGGGTACAGCGAGTCCGGCACCGGACTGGCGATTGCTCTGGGCGCCTGCGCAATCGGAAACCGGAGGAAAAAGTCGCAGGAAGAAGAAGACGAACGGAATCAAAACCAGTCGAACGTCGAAGGGGATGGAGGTCTAGGGTTTTCTCGAGGAGGGAGCGAGGGAGGGGACTCACCATCGTCGTCGCTTGCTGGAGCTCGGAGTCGTAGTCGTCGTCGTCGTTCCGCGTCAAAGCTCCTCCCACGAGTTCGTTCGACAGCAGTGGAAAAGCCCGGTAACGAGGTCGGAGACGATGAATATATAGAGCTGAGAAAGGAAGTTGGGCTGGGCTTCGGACCTTCTGAAGGCCCAAGTTTCTGGCCCAGGCCCAATCTTATTTACTTGAATTTATCATCTATTTTTTCTTTTAAAAGTATACTTTACTTTAACATTCAATCTGAAATTTTTTTTTCCCAAGACAAAATATATTTTCAGTTTTTTGTTTTTTTTGGCTCGCCAAAATTTAGATTAAAAATATACTGGTCAATCTTGCCTTTTTAGGGTGAGTTCTTGTGTGAGGCCTGCATTCATCAATCGAGGCTTTCCCTAGAGATTTCGAGTCGGGGCGCCAACATGATCCACGGTCGAGAGGATTTCCAGGTAAGATGTCAGGGTGCGCGACCGATCGAGCATGTCACACAATCCGACTCTCCAATAAACGAGGTTCGAAGCTTGCTTGCATTGCAATTGCAATATGTCATGACGACGTTTGCCTAATACAGTGCCGAAGGCTCCAAAATTTCGATCATCTCGGGTCTCGCCGTGATTAAATCCTCTTGAAAATCTTATTTAGTACCTGGAAACCGTTAACAACATAAAAACCCCGTCAAACGGGTGAGTCGGGTCGGGATTGGGTTGGGTTGAAAATGGTTTGACCCAAATTAATATATTTAACCCTTTTTTGACCCATTTTCCATCTAATACAAATCAAGTAATTCATACACGACTCGACCCATATCTGACTCTTATTGCTAAAACACTTCCATTTTTTACATAATCTAGAAAAATTGATATCCAAATTGAGGTAAGAGCGCGAAGTGAGCTAGCGCAAGGTTGAGGCAAGGGCAAGAAAGAGCGAAATGGTTTATAACCCATTTTTACACGAAGATATCACAGGTCTCAACAGTCAACATGACCTCTTTTCATTCAGGAGCTCATCGACAAGATGCGGTCTGGTGAACGAAGTGCTTCATTCACCATTAACGTTCTGTACACTTCAGCACTTGGAGCTTTTCATTCCAGCTATCTCATTTCTCTCCAATTACAATTCAACAAAAGAAATTTACACCGAATGAAACAAAGCCATCCCCTCCATAACTAGCATAACCGTGCATTCGCGGCCCCAGCGAAAAGCTCAGTCGGTAACATCTCCTCCTTCATATCCCCTTATTAAGTTAGGCCTGATGACATCCTGCCGGTGCCGAGCATTTATGCCGGACTGTCGGTTCGCACCGACCGGTTCTCCTGTTTTGCAATCACAAGCTGATGCGAGCTGTAGTCGTGGCGTGGAGGACCGCTGTGCTGGTTGATCCGGAAAAAATCCAAGAACAAAGAAATCGCTAAAGGTTGGAACTTGAGTCGATTCTTGTCGGCCAAGAAACCTCCCTCAGTTGGAACCTGGCCATAACGCCAAAAAGGCGCCGTGTTCACTCGCGCTGCCTCCGGACAATCTCCTTAGTCTCTCCCAAAAATGCCTTCCTCTTCCCGTTCTTAAAGGACCCGAGCTCGAATACCTCCGAAATGAACCTGAGATGGGCCTTGTGTACCCTGCTGATGTGCCGAGAAAATCCGAAACCGACACTCCTCGCTCACTATTACTGACAGAATCGCAGTCTGGATCCGAGTATCTGCCTTGTAAAGGATGCTGCGACTGTCCAGAGCCAGCACCAGCCCTGGGATCCAACTCAATGGACAAATCTTCTCGGCTAGAGCTTCTGGAACCGGCCTCTCTAGCCTCATCGCACTCGCACTCATTACATACTAGTTTTAGCGCCTGCACGACCTCACCCATGAAAGGACGGTGTGATACCTCAGGCTGCACGCACATTGAAGCGATCGCTGCCACTTTGGCCACGCTATCGAAGGGGACGTTAGGTCCCAGAGACAGGTCTAGAATTGCTTCTAGCCCTTCTCTGCTAGTGAGCAGCGGACGAGCCCAGGTGACCAGGTTCTCTTGACCGGGTGGCTGTGACATGTCAACCGGCTTTCTTCCTGTCAGGAGCTCGAGGAGTACCACTCCATAACTGTAGACGTCGCTTTTCACGAGAAGATGCCCTGTCATGGCATATTCGGGAGCAACATACCTGGATGCAATCGACATATGAAGAGAATTTCAGTATTGTGGTTACATAGAATCTCCAAGCAAACAATTTAGAATCTCAAAGGGTCACATTTGAAGGGCCAAACATCAAAGAATAAATTGCCTATAAGCTAACAGATCCTTCCGCACAAGTTTCTTGAGACCACAAGTCCAGCGAAAGTTTGCAAGAACAAAGTTTGATTTGAATTCTAACTTGTGATGTTAAGATGGATGTACCAGAGAATAGGATACCAATCTCCCTAAGAGACCTCAAATTACTGATGTTATGCTGCTTTAAACCAACATTTACGACCAACACATTTAGAACTAACCAAAGAATACGATATTGGAAATCAAAGCAACTATTTGAACAAGAAAGGAATTTTCTTACCCAAAGGTTCCCATGACACGTGTAGAGATGTGTCTATTTTCCTCATCCATAGCGGTGCGAGCCAAACCAAAATCCGACACTTTGGGTGTAAAATCATGTTCCAATAATATGTTGCTGGCCTTGAAGTCCCTATGTATAACACGTGGGCTCGAGTCCTCATGCAAATAGGCTAAACCACGAGCAGCACCAAGCGCTATCTTCATCCTAGCACCCCAATCTAGTGGGGCAGCTTCCTTGTCAACTCCTGAAAGCATGGGAAAATAGACACTGGCTTTACACCTCATGAAGCAGAATGAAGAGAGAGACAAAAATAAGTTAATACTAGAGAAAAGTTGCATATTAATCTATGCTATACCTACCATGCAAATGAGATTCCACGCTGCCATTTGGAATAAGTTCGTACACAAGGCAGCGGGCACGTTCCTCCGTACATATACCAATTAGCTTGACAAGATTCCTGTGGTGTAGGCGGCTAAGCATCTCGACTTCGGCTAAAAATTCCCGGCCACCCTGTTGATCCTCCCTCTTCAGAACTTTCACAGCTACTTTGGTCCCATCTTCAAGAGTGCCACTATATACACGTCCAAAGCCACCTTCGCCAAGTATTCTTGACTCGTTGAAATGATCAGTAGCTCTTTCAATTTCACTCACGCTGAAAGTTTTAGCAGACCCTGCATAAGTCGGTATGCTAGATCCAAATGACAACGAGGCAGAGCTCGGGCCACTTCTGGGGATAGACCCTGCCCTAACTGCAAGACATTGGCCTCCATAGTGAGAACGGGAGAACTCCCTTTGACCCAAACTTGCAATATTTAATCGAAATCATAGCCTAGGGTTGTTACAAATTATAAACCAAGTTAATGTTCTTGTCAATTCTAGTACTAAAATATGGGACATCTACTAGGACTCATCTTTCTGAAAATGGCACTAAATTGAAATTCCTCTTGTTACATTAATAGTCCTGTTATGTGCAAGTATTTGGCCAACTTCTTCTGGAGTTTTTATTTATGGACCACCTACCAATCTCCGCATGCTCTGGTCCATGCGAAAATATCACAACAGCACATCCGATTAACACTGTTGGTGATTAACTATTACCTGGTGACTTTGCAACAGATGGTAACAAGGTCTGGGGAGTCGGTGCAGGTTGAAAAGCTCGATCTCTGTGTTTCATTACCCAAATCCAACCAGCAACAGAGCATAAAACAACAGCAACAAGGGCAGATAGGACAATAATAGCAACCACACCACCGCTTAGCCCGTGATTATGCTGCCCCTTCTGCACATCTACCCCGAGAGGTTTATTTGTTCTTGCATTATTGTCATTGCCGGAGTAGGCCCCACCATCAATTATTGTAGCATCTGGGGGCAAAGGCGGAGATGCAGGTAACCCTGTAAACCCAATACAAGTATACAGCATTGTCTCAAGATCAACTTAGTGTCATAAATGAAGGGAAAAAGTGACTGACAGGCGCCATGACTGACACAAAACATTACCGGGATATCGCACGTATAGGACTTCATAATCACCAAAGTAGGAAGCGTTTATGAAGACCTGCTTATGCCAAAATCTGTTGAAAGTCAAGAAAGCGGTAGTATTATCGAATTGGTCCCCCAGCGGTACCAAGTCAATTAGCACGATGGTTTTCTCGGGCTGCTCAGTGGCAGCATTCGCCCCCATTATGCGGACTTGACTTTGCTTCATAAACACACCTGAAGCAATTTCTTCAGCCAACTCCGAAACCAAGGGGAAGAAAGTATAAAGAGCAACATTGAGGCGCAGACCAACTTGCATAGGCCACACGCAGCCACAGGGGGACCCAGGGGGAGTATTTGTGTATGGATCCATGCATGTTGTTGTTGAACAATCTGCAGAAAAGAATGTCCCTAGTTTTACATCTTCAACAATAGCGAAGGCATGACATCTGGCTGTAAGCACCAGAGTAAACAAAAGCAGAACATGATTCAGCTAACCTTCATTTGGAGGTGGGGGAGGTAATGCCCGAATAGGAGGTGGAGGTGGCACTACGAGATTTGTCGATGGAGGCTTAGAAGGAGAAACTTGATAAATTGCACCACATGCATCAAACAACAGCAAAGTAAGATAGAAAGAATAATCCTAATCAATCTAAAATGGAGAAATACCACATTTTCTCTTACTTTTGGGATGGCCAGATGCAGTTTTTGGAGATGGAGAAGGTGCCAGCGGTAAATCACTCTTCGAAGGAGAATTGGTGGAATGGGTTGGTGAAACCAAAGAGCCTGACCAAGGAAAGCGTCAGATGTAATAATTTGGTTGGGTTCCATCATATTAAATGGCTCTAACATATTAAGTATGTGCCTACCTGGACTCAGTGATGGAGGAGCATTGTGTCTTTGTTTATGTCTCGGAAGTGTAGCTGGAGCGGAAACTGGACCTAACAGATATTAGAAAGAAAAGAGTCAGTATCAAAGCGACAGTTATGCAACAGGTCTATTTGGTCATCACATGATTCCCAATTGCAATTCTAAACCACTTGACTCGTGGAACCTGGATGGTCGGAGAAAGGAGGAGGACTGCTAATTTTGTTCCCTCCGTCATGATGCATGTCAGATGAGGGCGAGGGCGACTTTGCAGAAAAACGATGCCCTTTGCTGGAAGGTAATGGAGGAGGAGGTGAGGGAGCATTGGCAGAGATATGATGGATTGTGTGTGGGGAAGGAGCTACGCTGCCAGATGAACCTGCACGAATAAATCTATGATGCTGAGCTCTATTTTCACCACTTAGCCCACACAATCCTGAGTCCTGACTTAGACACATCAGTAAGAAATGATGGAAAGCTCACCTTTAGATGGCAAAGGCGAATGGCTCGGAGGTAGTACGGCCTTCCCAACATGATGATGGTTAACAAATGAAGCTGGAGCTAAAGATGCAGGTGAACGATGCCCTTCGCTTGGAGGGAATAATAGAGAGGGAGCGGGAGCGCTGGCTTTGTGCACAGAAGGAGATACAGCATCAAAAGAACCTGTCAGAGAAATTTCAGTATATTGAGGACAAGATTCTTGTTGGTATTCACAAACAGCACGCAGTCATCCCTTTACCTTTAGGTGGATGTTTCATAGGAGGCAGATCAGTGGCTGCATCATTCGGAGGTGGAGCAACAGGCATCTTGTCACCTTTCTTCAGCGGAGGTGATGCAGGAGATATGTGATGGCCTGCAATCTCACATAGGACAAATGAAGCATCATATTTGCTACTCAAAAATCAATCGGAATTGATAAAGATGGACAAAGTTAAAGCAAGAAAGTCAGGAACGAGCAAGCCAGATACATCAATCATATAATCATGGCTCCTCCAATCCTATATATCCAATAGCGCTTGATAGATGTCTCATTAATCTTTTGAAACCATAAAAACAGAAAACTCGACGCTGAAAACATGTCAATATATGAGCTGTAACCATATATTACCAAGAATCTGATTTTTTAGCTGTATATATACCCTATAGACGCAATAAGCCACATCTCTTCTATGCACAATGGCTTCAGATTTCTTGCTACATCACTATACCTATATTTTAGTTGGTACCTGCTACTATGGATGGAGACTCTGCAGGTGCATGTGGGTGGACCGACGGGGAATTTTGTGTCCCCTCATTTGACGGAGATGCTGCTGGTACTGCAATTGATTTATTAAGAGAAAAAAACACCTTTAACAACAAATGCTGTGTTGGAAAGCTAATCCATTAAAGATTATGTCTTGAGGCGCACCGGGTGGTATAGGTGGTGTCATATGAAGCATCGCGGGACGTTCTGCTGGCGGACTTTGTCCTATTTTTCTTGGTGGAGATGAAAATGATGCTGTTATTGGAGATGAACAGATTAAATATAGTCGGAGCAAATTAAATGAAAATCATTAAAAATGCTAATCACCTACCTGGGACACTTGCTTCCGGGACGGGACTATGGCCTGCTGAATCATTTCTTTGGTGTCCAGCTGGTGGGGAAGTTGCAGGAATACTAGCATTGTCTACTGGTGATTGTGCAGGTGGATGTTTTGTAGGTGTTAAAGTAGGAGCTGAACATCACAACGACAAAAGACAGCTCATGAATGACAATAGTCGCATATCACGAGTAAAACATAATAGAACAATTTGGTATGTACCAGGAGCTAGAGAGACTGCAGGAGTTACATGTACTGGTGCCTTCTCAGGAGATTCACTCGGCGGGGGAGCCAAAGCCCCACCTTCGATACTCATTGGCGGAGGCACCAACGGGTGTGGAAACGATGAATGTGGATTACTTGGTGACAAGGATGGTACAAGTTCCGTAGTCTTCGAAGGCGGCAAAGCAGACAAAGGTGGCGATGCAAGTGGAGGTTGTAAAATAGACCCTGATTTAGAAAAGAGGCTTAAATTATATCAAGAAGGGTAAGGATCCAGCAGTTTCAGAGTCACATACCACTGGGCTGAGATATGGAGCTCGGTGCATTTTCATTCGCGCTTCTTTGGTCTGGGGACGGTGAGGAAGACAAAAGAGGTGGTGCTGCTAGTGGAGAGTGCAAATTTGACCCTAAATTGTGAAAAGAGAAGCTCAATTATTAAAACCAACTGAAATTTATAAAGTTTTTAAAGACAGAGAAATTACCATTGGGATAAGATAATGGACTTGGTGCGCTGCTTTTGAGTGACTTCATTTGATGGGCAGAAGCCTCCGCTCCTTCTATTGGAGGAATAGCAGAGAAATTCTCAGTAGATGGAGACCCCGAAATGGATTGGAGAGAAAAAAAAAAAAAAACATTTCACAGGCTATTCCACTGCCCATGCAAAAAATTGAAAGCTTAAAATCCATTTAGCTTTCAATTGGTCCGAGTAAGATTTGAGTCTATGCTGAAGGTAGATTTAGCACAAACCAACTATATGACAGAAAATAGTAAATTAGAAAAGCCTGTATAAACGAAGAAATGCAGCATAAATATCTATCTATGCAAACCATGCCTAATGGCCGTTCATCCGGTCAACCATGATCTAGCAAATAATTCCCCGATGAAAAGCTTATCTGTGAAGAGATAGCGCTGAAACGTAAAAATCAAAATTCGGGAAAACATTGAGCTAGAACTTGCAATCAAGGACAGCTGAGTGCGATTGTTACATGATACCACACTGAAAATAGCACGTTGAAATCAAGAGAAGAACAATAGCGTATGGATCTGACGTGCCTTCACCAGATACCTATTCTTAATTCATGCTCCGGCTTAGTCATTGCAGACGAATCACTAAATGCGACAGCATTACATTAGGAGTGAGAAACGAAGGGGCAGATTCGTGCAACTCTCTTTATAGTTACAAGACCTTACAGCTCAGTGAAATTTGATAAACCAAGACAGCAAGTTATCATTAGATCAAACGTCGAGTTCAGCAGCGGCACCAAGTGCCCAACATCACAGTATAACAAGTAAAAAGACAAGAAATCTTTCGTACCTGCAGATCCCGGAACAGCCGAAGCAAAGGTAATGATGAATAGTTGAACCAGCTGGACAGTGATCACTTGCATCACCACCCCCATCTCATTCAACACCAAATCCCAATCATCCTTACAATTCCAACTCCAGCCCAAATACAATATTGAAGAACATAAATTAAACTCCGCAAAAAAAAAAGAAAAAAGAAGATTGCTAAATTTACAGACTCGATAACACTTGAAGCAAGATCGAAGAGGAAGGGAATCAGATCAGCAAACGAGAGACCCCGCGTACAGTGCGAGCAAAGCAAAAGCAATAAATAAAAAATTTCCCTTGTGGTGGAGGAAACACAAAGAAGGAAAGAAGAGAAATTAATCAATCTCTCTGTGAATAAACAACATGCTCTGGAACCCGCAGAGACTCTGAACCCATAAACGCCTACTTCTCCACCAACACGAAATTAATTCCACGAACTGAAACCGACCCACGAATTGAAATGCCCTGTGTACCACAAGCAACCCCACTCACGGAGGAACTGAACTGTTACAGACAAGAGACACCCTTCCCCCACTGTGAGAGAGAGAGAGAGAGAGAGAGAGGAAGGAGAGATTATTTTATTTGAGGGAGGTTAGATTTGAGTGGAGTGTTAATGGGAATATCACGAGGAAGAGAATCAATGTTTACTTAAGTTGAAATTGGACTTTTGCAGGAGACGGGTCTGCTTAATTTAATGGTGGGGGTTGGTTTCCTCAAGAGCCTTGACTCGTGGTGTATGCTCTCTTGTTCTTGCTCTTCTTCCCTGGTTTTTCCATCTCTTTTCCTCAGCTGATCTTGGTGGTGGACATTGGAGACTTTTGCTTTTTGGTAAGAGCGTGGTGAATTCATCCACTGACTCATCACCCACTATTCTGCTCGTCGCGATGATCCGAGAACTCGGAAAAAAGGCGAGAGGTTTCATGGAGGATACGATGTTTACCTGTCCCTGACCTGACCTCATGCTTCAAGCAACAGTTAAGACTTTCGCCGGGAATTGAAAAGCGACAGTTAAAGCAGCAAAAGGAAGTAACAGTTAGAACTCACACTAAAACTTTATAAAAGAAAAAAGTTAAATAGAACCGTATATATCTTTACTTTAATCGGGTAAGGAGCCGACACGTATGATCGAATTAGGCGCGACCATACATGTTGTGTCCGCGTTTGGGTCACCCATTCGGACTTTGACGCATATTGTGAACGGGAAATTTACCGATTTAAAATTGACGGTTCCTCGTCATGGAAAAATTTGCAAAGTCAATATTAGGATTCAACTGGAGGTGTGTATCGGTCCCGATCCAGCGTGGGAACTGGACCGAACCCACCTGTTCTAGGTGGTTCCTAAGTGGACTTGCCCAATTCCCTGTTCCACATAAGGAACCGGACCGACCGGATCGACTGATCAGTCACGATTTCTTAATTTTTTTTAAAAAATTATTATAAGGAAAACCCTAATTAGTAAAATTATCTTTTTCTTTTAATGTTGAAAAACTCCCACTTGTGGGGTAATAAAAGAAAACACCGGTTTTGAGACCGACCTTGGAACCAGTTTGATTTGGTTCCAAGACTAGGCGGGCTAGTTCTCGATAGTCTAGTTTTTGGTTTCGAGGTAGGGATCGACCCACCTTGAAATCGATGACCCTTAAATTCAGCTTTGTAATCGCGCTCACTAAGCAACAGGGCCGGTCCAGCCTAGGAACAAACCGAACCGGCCTTAATTCACACGAGAACCAGCTTGGTTGCTCGGCAAAAAATTGGTGGAGGCATCCTTGACCGATCCGGTCTTCCGTTTCACACCACGAACCATCGGTTTTACTCGAGAACCGGCCCTTTAAGTCAAAACCCATTCCAAATGGTCGTCACCTTTGGCTTGGCCACGTGAAACGGATCGGGAAAGTTTTAATATCACTTATAGAATTGTTTTATTTTCATTGAATTGAAGGTTGAAAATGAAGATTGCAAGGACGTCATCTTTTCAAAGTAGTACATCGTCTTGATACACGTGATCCATGATATATATATTTTTATACACAAAACTTAGATGTGGTTCAGCAATCGTCTTCATTGTTAGTCTAACAATGCATATGAGAGACAATCGATGACTACACACTTCTTACACGATCCGGATTGTAACTATCAAATCAACATCAGCCAAGTTAAAATAACCTTTTCTTATCTTTAAATTTCTTCTTGAGACTTTAATAAGCCACCGGACCCCAGGAATAAGCTATATAATGTTCCAGGATATTGTGATTATTTCAAGAAAAGAGGTATTAAAAGAGAATTATATTCACAAGCAATTGATTTTGTTGACCGCGTAACTTACTAATAGACACTGATATTAAAGCACCTAAATTATGATGCGTACTAGATTTATATATATATATATATATATACACACACAGAAGAGGTTGGGACATATACCAATTTGATATATGATCTCAAGAAGCTAAGTCATTATATCACCATATCTAGGGGTGTCCATGGGTTGGGTTAGGTCGGTTTTTCATGATACCTGACCCAACTCGAAAAACTGAACGTGTGTGCTTGACTCGATCCGAGACAAGACCCGAACATGATATAACCATATGATTGGGCCGGGCTGGGCCAGATCGGGTTTAGTGATGATGGTGAGTTAGGTTAGAACGAAGTGTGTTTTGTCAAAGCATAAAATAAAAAAGGAAATTCGGTAGGCATCGGCAATCAAAGTCTATTTGTCATATGATTAGCAATTTTTTTTAATACATATTTATATTCGTCGATTTGAAATATTCCCCAAAAGTACAATCAAGGAGGGTTTGGGTTCTCGTGCATTCAATCGGCATCGCTTGAGACGGTTTCGTGGATACGAGACAAAGTTAGTCATTTTAAATGTCAAATCGAATGTCTATCGTTCCTGTTTAAGGTATTCGTGTCTTGTGATTATGCCGAAGAAAGAGGAAAGAAGCTCCAAAAAAGCAAGGAAAAATGTGTATGTTCAATCAGCAAGGTTAATTTGGAAATCATACAGTCGTTTCCAGGGCATCTCAAAGCTTCACAAGTGGGCATCATGATCAGAATAGGTTTGCCCTAATTATTGTCTCGGCTCATTTGGCTTGGGAAACTTCGTGCCTTTTAAATCAATCAGTGCGAGCTTATGCCTCACCAATCATGCAATTTCAGCTTTTGATGATATGACAATCTCACCATAGAAATTTGCCATTTCATATTCCAGAGCACCAAATATAAATAAATAAAGCCTAAGATGATTTTGAATCGACATACTTGTGTAGCTCGGACTCGACTTTATGATCACTTGAGATTGAGTCGCCTAACTTCAAGTCAAACTAGAGCTCGGGCTACTCGAGTATCTTATCAAGTTGATGTCGTAAATACTTAGCTCAACATGTTCATGAAACTAAGCGAGCTTTTATTTTTCTTTTGTATTCTTTAATAGTTAGTAAAAACAGGCAAGTGTAGACAAAATAAAGGGGAAAAACATTCAAGCTTATTAAACTCCAGCTCGGACTTATTTACAATTCGAGTTGACTTCAAATTTTTCGATTTTCAATTCGAGTTAAGCTCGAAAGTGATGTTTCATTCTCGATTGAATTCGAGTTGTGTTTTGGATATCCAGTATGTGCGTCAAGTCGAGCTCGAGCTTCGTACTATATCGGCTCCGACTCAAATTGTCAAGCTGCCGTTTGGGATTCTTTAAAGTATATGTCTCTTTAAATATGTTTTTTTCCTACCAAGATGCTTGTTATTCGAAAATTTTACCCCTTTTTGGCCGCATATATATATATATATATATATATATATATATATATATATGTGTGTGTGTGTGTGTGTGTGTGTGTGTGTGTGTGTGTGTGTGTGTATGATGCTTGGTAGTAAAATAAAGGGTTAATACCACAAAAAATCCAAACTGGTATAGATGTGACAAATTTACTCAAAACTATATTTTTTTAAACACCAAAAACCCCAAACTGGTACACTTGTGACAAATTATTCATAACTAATTTTTTTACCACAAAAAACTTCAAACTAATACACTTGTGACAAATTTACCCTCAGTTAAATTGGATTAATACCACGAAAAATCATAAATTGGTAAATCTGTGAGAAACGAAGGGGTAAAATCCTAAACTGATACACCTATTAATTGCCACGTGTCATTTAACTCAGCAATTTGACGGTAAAATTTAACGGAAACTAACGAAGGAGGGTAAATTTGTCACAGATGTACAAGTTTGAAGTTTTTAGTAGTCAAAAAATTAATTTAGGATAAATTTGCTATATGTGTAATTATGTTATTAATCCAAAAATGAAAAATCAAATAAGCTAACAGTGTGTTCTCTTCTCCCGTGGGCTTTCACATGTACATATTCTGTCACATCTTATTTAACGTGGCACCTGATTAGATTGGTGTCGGAGAATATTCCTTTCTATTTTATAAATTTTGTCACCGGACCTAAATGTAATTTTTGGTGCAAAGCCAAATCAAGGTCGAATGACGTAATAATTAAATAATATATGATCTAACTCTCTTTGGCATCATTGTGGATTTTCACGTGGATGCGGACAAGTCACACCCAGAGGAAACTAACACGAACCCCACGTTGAATAGGGGTGGACCAGTGGAGATCTTGGGAAAAGAAAAGGCTCCAAATCTTTTTGTCTTTTATATATATTATATATAAAAGAATAGGGTTAATACCACGAAAAACCCTAAATTGATACACTTGTGACACATTTACCCAAAACTATTTTTTTTACCATAAAAAAACCCAAACTGGTATATCTGTGACAATTTTACCCTGAACTATTTATCCTAAACTGGTACACTTGTGACAATTTTACCCTAAACTTACCACAAAAAACCCCCAAACTGGTACATATGTGACAAATTTACCCTGAATTAAAATTTTAATATTATTTTTTTATTTTTTTCAAATTTTTATTTATTTTTTATTCTTTTCTTTTTCTTTTTTTTTTCATCTTCAACCTCTGGCCGGCGAGGGCCGCCCTCGCCGGCGTCGGGCGAGGGCTGTCCTCGCCAGATGGGCGAGGGTGACCCTCGCCTGCGTCGGGCGAGGGCCACCCGACGCCGGCAAGGGCGGCCCTCGCCGGCTTCCGCCTCTGGTCGGTCGCCGGACCGGCGACCGGCCAGAGGTTGAAGGTGAAAGAAAAAAAAAAGAAAAAAAAAAGAAAAAATTCAAAAAAATTCAAAAAAATAATATTAAAAATTAGTTCTGGGTAAAATTGTCACATGTGTACCAGTTTGGGGTTTTTTGTGGTATGTTCAGGGTAAAATTGTCACAGGTGTACCAGTTTGGGGTTTTTTATGGTCAAAAAAATAGTTTGGAGTAAATATGTCACAAGTGTACCGGTTTAGGGTTTTTCGTGGTATTAACCCAAAAGAATAATTGCTTACTTAAGGTTTATATAAATGCCCATAGTTTCATTTGATATATATACGCGTGAAACATTTTTTTGCGAGAGAATTTGTTGGAAAATTATGCTCACCTGAAGTTTTCAGCTCATTTGAAATGATAAATGCCGATAGATAAAGGGAGATCACTTCTCAGGAAGCACACGCAAAGCAAATCAGGGAACAATCTGATTTCAATATTATATTAAAATATCAAATCTAAAAGCTTAAGTTCATAAATGGAAGGAGACTATATATATACAAAGAGAGTGTTAATACTATTGAACAAGAGACGTGTGACATTTTAACAGATATAAAGTGAGCTTTTAGATAGCCGAGTCTTTATACTTGTACTCCTAAATTATGGATAATTGTCCAAAAGATCCTATTGTATGCCATTGCTGGCTAATATAATCCTAAACTTTTGACAATTTATTGATGTAATTCTTCTGGTCAATTTTGGCCAGAAATCGCGGACATGGCTGTCTAGTCAGCGTTAACTGTCCTACGTGACAAGACTGGCACTAATGCTGACGATTATTGCAATTTTTTTAAATT